TGCAGAGACAGGAGAACACAATCATATGCAAACGCATATACATATATACGTATATAAATAATTGTGTATGTATTTTTGTATGATTGTTTCTTTTACAACCCTGTCGATTTTTATTTTAACACTAACAAAACCTTTAGAGTTTATGTGGGGTTTTTTTTTTTTTTTTTTTGTTTCAGCTCACAGATCGATGTTCTTATTGATTAAATCTACTTAAACCTGACAAACTCACACAGGCACATCCTGCAACCTAAAATAAAGCATTTATTTCTTTTTCTATTTTATGTTCCTTAATTAATGTTCCTGGTCTAATGATGTTTTTCCTCACAGCTCCAAAAGCCCTGCTTCCATCTGATCCTGCCCCAGAGCCCCGGTTCTGGATCCAGGATCAGGGTAATTTCAATTACCGTAATAATATTATCTTTAGAAGACTAAGGATAAGGATGAGGAGGTTGAGGAGGAGGAGAGACTTGTACCCCATTGCGGAGGAGGTGATAGAGGAGGCGGAGGAGGAGGAGGAGGAGGAAGCTGTTGCTGATGATGTAGATGAAGTGGAGGAGGAGGAGGAAGCTGTTGCTGAGAATGTAGATGAAGTGGAGGATGAGGAGGAGGAGGAAGCTGTTGCTGATGATGTAGATGAAGTGGAGGATGAGGAGGAGGAGGAAGCTGTTGCTGATGATGTAGATGAAGTGGAGGATGAGGAGGAGGAGGAAGCTGTTGCTGAGAATGTAGATGAAGTGGAGGATGAGGAGGAGGNATGTAGATGAAGTGGAGGATGAGGAGGAGGAGGAAGCTGTTGCTGAGAATGTAGATGAAGTGGAGGATGAGGAGGAGGTAGACGTCGAAGCACAAGTGGTAGAGGAGAATGAGGAGCTGGAGATGCAGGATTTTGAGGATGTAGAGGTTGAGGCTGAGGAGGTTAGGTCTTTTTCTGGCGAGTCTCCTGAGGTGTATAGTGAGTTCTCCGGGTATGACACCACAAGCTCTGAGGATGAAGATGATGAAGACGAGGACCACCTTCCACCACATCTGCAGTCCACCCAGAGGATTTCCCCCGACTTAAGATTCCCATGGAACCACGAGGAGCCAGAGGAGTCCCCGGAGTGCCAAGAAGACCACGTCTCCAGGAAGAGAAGAAGAGAGGAAGACGAGGAAGATGATGAAGACGAGGACCACCTTCCACCACATCTGCGGTCCACCCAGAGGATTTCCCCCGACTTAAGATTCCCATGGAACCACGAGGAGCCAGAGGAGTGCCAAGAAGACCGCGTCTCCAGGAGGAGGAGAAGAGAGGAAGATCCTGAAGAGGAGCTCCCTGGGAAGAGGCCATGTCGTGAGAGGGACGTTTGAGAAAAGGAATATCATCAAGAACCTTCCTTTAACTCCTTCAACTACTTCTAATGATGAAGAGAAGATGAGGATTTAGCAGAAGAACCAAACCTTCACCATCTTCCTTTGGATCATCTTGTAAGAGAAGCTGGATGTACTTTCTTGCTGATTTGATGATGAGTGAAGGTGGGAAGGCTGAAAGACTGGAAACAGTCACACATAGAAAGAATTTATTGATGGTTTTTACATCTGGCAGGTCTAGGGATGCCTTAGGTAGCGACTTGCTCCGTGGCTTTTCTTTACCCCGCTGCTAGATTTAGTTTCTTAGATGTTAAGGAGTCTGGCAGGTCTAGGGATGCCTTAGGTAGCGACTTGCTCCGTGGCTTTTCTTTACCCCGCTGCTAGATTTAGTTTCTTAGATGTTAAGGAGTCTGGCAGGTCTAGGGATGCCTTAGGTAGCGACTTGCTCCATGGCTTTTCTTTACCCCGCTGCTAGATTTTGATATAAGTTTTAGATGTTAAGATTTTCCTTTAGCACAGACATCTGAGCAGACTCTAAGGACTTGAGAGACCCAGAGACCAGTTCATCAGTTGAAATGGTGTCTGTGATGTTGGTTAGAAGGCAAAGAGATGATACTTGGTGGGAATACTTGATTGCAAACCAGTTTGAGGCAGAGGACTGCTTTCAGCTGTGAATTGATCTAGTTCTAGATGTTCTAGATGTTCCTCTGGTCAGTTAGTTTTCAGGCCTAGTTTGAGGGAAAGAAACCTCCATATGATCAAGGCCTATTCTGACCGCAGTGGATCTCTTCTGTTTTTTGAATCCTATGTTGGACCGAGCCGCTACAAGGTTTGGGCCTTCAGAAGATGCTGATGAGATCTACAGCGACCTAACCAGAGGAGGATCACCTGATCTGCTGACCTTTACAAAAAGTGAGAGCACGTCCAGTATGGAGAAACAATAATCCATCATTAAAGTCAACATTTCAGGTTGCCTCACTTAGTTTTTTCATGTCTGTTCAGATACAGTGGACGTCCAAAAGCAGAGCTCCTGTGAGGAACCGGGACATCCAGGATGGTGAGGAGCTTCCCTGTCCCCACCTGAGGACGGGACAGAGAAAGACTGGAACAGAAAACACGCGGAGTAAGCCTTTATTAACATGAACTCAAGCTTTCCAGACCATTAAAAACAGTTAGTAAAACACAGAAAGACCAAGATTACTATGAAAACAACATCCTGCCCCAGATTTAAAGTTGGTGTTGAGAAAATTCTGCAGATTAATTTGGCTTCTTTTTGCAGGGAAAGCGGGTTGACCATGAAAGCAGTGTTCTAGCAGCCGGATAGCATTGGAACAGAGTCCATCCACACGTGTTTGGAGGTATGTTGGTTGTTGTCTGACTAGAGAGGCATCACATGCAGACAGTTTAAGACTCTGATGACGCTTTGATTTCATTGATGAAGGAGCTGAAGAAGAAGATGGAGTACATAGACCGCTAAGGAGGAGAAACATGGCTCCTCTATTTGTCTCCAGCATTCTGGTGTCCTGGACTGAAAGACGGTGAAGACCCTGCAGCTAAACCATCAGTCTGCTACACCCAGTGAGAGAAGGTAACAAACCTTTATTGCTTCCAGATGTTAATCAGTATTAGTGAAGACACTTGAAACAGACCCAAATGGGGATTAAATGCAGAGGTTAATTTCTCCAATGTGAGATCAATAAAGTTCAATTATTATTATTATCCCATCAAGTTGGTCTAACCTTTAATCATTATCTTTTCATCTTAAATAGATGTTCACCTAAATTTGTATCTCTGTAACCAAACCTTTACCAGAACCAGAAGTTCTGACTTTTCCATTAGACCACAGATAAACAGTAAAAGCGGATTAGAGGACCGCGGTTCGGATCCAGACCCACCTGCTGTCTAATCTGGACCCAACCTGATTTAAAACATTTATAAATTGCTGTATGTTGTCCGACAACAGTGTTTAACCCCGAAATCCCACATCGTCCGTCTCCGCTCCAGACCTCCTGCGCAAAGCAAAGCCTACAGCCTCCGCTGTTCCTCCTGTCATCCTCCACTCTGACTTTCTCTGAGCTCAGGGAGAGCATGCGCTATATTATTATTAAATTCAGGAGCAAAACATGCGGAAATGAACGCTTAATTTAATATGACAGGAAATTGTCTCTATACCAAAACTGAATGATTTTTGTTCTTTACTTCAAAAAACACTTTAGAATTTAAAATGGAAAAAATTTCTATTTTCTTTTATATTTTTTATTTAAAAGTTCAATGTATAACACGGATGCATAAAAACCTCATTTTATTTCTGTGTTAAATTCTGTTTAAGATAACAGATTATAATTAAAAATGTCTCTGGACCTTTAGTGGTTGATGATTTTCTTTATTCGGACAACACTGATTTTTAATTGGTTACCCAGGTGTAGGGAAATCATATTTAAATTTAAAATAATTCTGGCTTAAACATGTATATAAATGTACTCTTTATCAGACCATATTGTCCCAAAATTTAGAAAATTTCTATTTAAAAAAACAAATCCTGTCTTAAAATTATCTTATGCAGGCCAGTTAGTTATACGTCAGTCTGAACACATAAATTCAGCCATTAATATGTCAACGGTCATCGCTCAATCAAATTTTTTTGGTCATAGCATCTTGATTCATATGTCGCAGCTAATATATGCAACACTTGAAATAAGAGTCATTCCTTGAAATCCGTCCCAGTGTTCACGGGGATGGACGTCTGTGTCTTCAGCAAGCGTAGAGCTAACAGAACTGGTAGCGTTGCGAGGCAAGGGCTCAAACATGTACGGCTGTAAGCCTTCTACACCAAACCAAGCTTCTGCCGCCCTGGCGTCCTTCTCCACAACATCTTCGTCCCCAATTTCCTCCTCTAAATAAAAAATGTATGACGGAGGAAACTTATCCACGACCTCTGACACAAAACTCTCCTCCTCTTGCATGTTTCCTCTGTCCATAGCGTTCCTTGACAGTGTCATTTCTAAGTCACCAATTAAGTGCTACTTGTTCCCAATGTAATTTCTCATTGGGAACCTACTAGCACTAAGTTGCTAACTGGTTAGCAAGATGCTTCCGAGACACCGGCCACAATTAAACTTGCTTGCAAACCTTCCGCCACAACAATCCCGCCCTCTTGATAATCGGCCAATCACATTTACTTTAGAATAGAATTCAACTGTCACAAGTACAGCAACTAAATTAATTATCTTCATTTAACCCACCCCCTTGGGGAGCAGTGGGCTGCCATTGTGCGGCGCCTGGGGAGCAGGGTCTTGCTCAGGGACCCAGAGTGACAGTCTGTGGGAGTGGGGGATCAGACTCACAACCTCAGGATTCAAAGCCCTATGCCCTAACCACTAGGCCGACATTCCCCTGTGTAACGTTGTGCATCTCTCAGGAGAATTCACAAATGCAACGGTTGGAACAGCCGCTTCCCTACGACTTTAAGAAGCAGCTTCTAATCCAATATGGGAGGATTTCACCTTGGTTGAACTTTGAAGGTTTTTTTTTTTACAACTTATTAAAGCAGAGAAACTACCCTGATAAAACCAAATGAAGACTCCAACAAATCAGCAGCATTTTCTCCAAGCATCTATTTTCTACAGTTATCGCTGCTGTTAACTTTAGGTTCTCCCCGTGTGTTTTCCTCTTCTCTAGGTTAATTTACGCCTCTCCCAGTGTTTATGTGTTTAAATGTCACAGACATTTAACTAACTCCTGTTCTTCTTTTCCACATAATTTCAGCTTCTCCTTGGACCGGAGCCTCTGTTTGTTGGACGTCTGCTGTCTCGTTAAAGACCCACTCGGCCACAGTGGAAGGGCGCTGACATGGAACTTCCTGCTTCCTGCTTAAAGCTAGTTTTCCTCTCTGCTGTCACTGCTTCATTGCTCAGGAGGAGGGACTGCTGCAAAATGAACGATTGGATGTGATTGGCTGAGCTTCCTTGGATTAAAGACGTTCCTCTAAACGCCATATTAAACTGGATTTATCTTCATGATGTTGTAAATAGGATCTAACCAGATGTCTGTGATTAATTTGATATTGTTTGTGTTGATTTCTGTTACTTGTTTCTGTATTAAAGCTGTCATGTTAATTGCCTTTAGATTACATTTCCTTCTGTTTTACAAGACTGAATTATAATAAATCCCCCTACTGGGTCTGTTTCTGTTAAAGTATGATTCTGTCACCTGTTATTTCTCACTGTAATAAAGGTTTGATGCATGTTGTGTGAACAAGACCTGTTTGTCTTTTTTGTAAATTTGTTCTTTATAAATAAACCAAACTGAAGTCAACTTGAGCAAGAGTTATAATATGACTATAGTACAGCGCTTAAGCAGATTGTTGGTTTTTTATTATTTCTCTGTCGGGGGGGACTGACCTGACAGCTCATTTTAACTGAATGTTTTCCTGTCACCTTGCGGTGTCGGAACAAATTAGCTCTACGAAAGGACAGTGAGACGTTCCTCCTGCAGTTCTTCTGATTTTATTTACCTTATAGACAATTTGTGACACATCAACACTAAGCCAACAAACAAAAATGGGAGGATAATTAAAGATGAATGTAAAAATAAAGCATTAGTAGGAACTAAATGTTTAGCGAATCCAAAGCAAACAGCTTAATATTTCCGGCTCTATATTCTATCAGACAAAAAGGGGAAATGGATTTAAATGGATTGATGATCCTAAACTCACATTTAACTGGTTTTGGAATAAATAAAGCAGCTTAAAATCAACATCTGGAACCTCGGCCCTTGTTCTAATTTTTTTGTGTAATCCAATTCTTTTGCGTGGTTGATCACATTTCCAAATATGTAATCTCCTATGTGAACGGCATTAATGGTAAATGATAAATGGCCTGTACTGATATAGCGCTTTTTCAAGTCAGGAGACTTGACCAAAGTGCTTTACACTACATTCAGTCACTCCCGCATCCATTCACACACTGATTCATACATGTTGAGTGTCCCGCATGGGCAGTAAAGGACGCAATGACCTCACAAGTGAGGTTATTTTCCTATTTACCGGTAGGAAAATAACCTGAAGACCAGGGCTGGTCTCAATTTTGAATAACTTTTAATTAAGAATTAATTTTCTATAGAAAGTAAATATATATATAAATAACAAAAAAATATATTCAAATAATTTATTTTCCCTGCTGTATTAAGTACTGACTGAATAAACTGAAGCTGTGGGTTTTCCTACACATTATAAAAAATATAAAAATATGATAAAACAGAAAACTCATTGTGCTACCAAATAAATGAAAAAATAAGATGAATAGAATAAAAATGTGAAACACTGATAATCACCCATGAATAGAGATGTCAAATACCATTTAAAAACAGAATATGCCTCCTTCCTGTTTGAGAAGCAGAAGCTAACTATGATTCACAGTGAGGATGCCCCAGTAGATGTTTGGAAATGCTGCATAATGTAAAACATAAAGCAAGTTTTAAAGAACATGAACTTTTAACAGCATCCATTCTGTCTAATCATTACCGGCACCAATAAACTGCATCTGATTAAATCAAGACACTGTGGAAATGTGCTGAAGTCCAAAGGATGGTTATTCCTTCGCTGAAGCTCCTTCTGATCATCACATCCTCCACATCATCTGCCGACATCCCTTAAAAACAACAAAGCCATGCAATGGCAGCCCACTGCTCCCCAAATACGAAGAGTGCAACAATAAAGGAATGTACTTTTTTTGTTTTATATATATAAATAAGGTATTTGGACACACCAAAATGTCAGCGATAAACCAATGGATTCTACTAATAAGCTGCTTTTTAATTATAGCACCCACAACTGTGATCCATGGCATCTTGGCCTAACGGTTAGATACCAGAACTACTCTTATTCCAGGATTTTCTTGGGAATATTATTCATAAATGGCTTCTTTCCTTCCAGCAAACCATAGTGTAATTATTTGCCTTGCCTATTTTACACACACGTTGACAATATGTCAGATAATAAACAATCAGGTTTGCAGTAGAATCCCCATCAAGCACAGAGAGGAGAAACATCTGATGCAAAATGTATTTTTATTTTCATGTAAGGTAAAAAATATATATATTTAAATGTTCTTAGTACAACAAAAGAACCTGTGGCATTTTGTTTTATTTCTTCTTTAAATAAGATTAGCCCTCTCATGCAGCCAGAATACAACAGTGACTAACACTGAGGCCAAGGGTGGAGAAGTAGGAGATAAATCCTGCTGCAGGTTTGTGTTCACATAATTGCATTGCTAAAAACCATCACTGCAGATTAAATAGGACAAAGAAGCTTTCTAAGATGAATGGGTTAAAAGGAATACGGCAGCAATTGATTTCTTTAAAGCCTGAATATGACAGCGGAGCAATACGTCTTGGGTCCTTAGATTCACTCAGCTTATTATTCATAAGAAGCACCAATAATTCTAAACATAACATGGATTGTATTTTCTAAAACTGTCAAACATCAGTAGAGCAGAACATTCCTTGAAAAAATAGTCACTAAAAAATATCTTGTAGATATAGATATCTATATATAGAGCACTCCTTTAGTACCATTGGCTGACAAACATACTGTAAGAGGGCTTTTGATTGTCTTTTATTTAAATACCATCAATTTATGCGAGTGATTTTTTTTTTTTTTTTACCGACAAGCAATTGCTACAAGACAGAAATCCGGCCCAGAGGCAGAATACTTGAATCCCTGAGGACCATTACTTTCTCCAATGCATTTAATTGTTTTTACTTTACCAGAAACTTCAGAGCACATGGGGAGGGGGTGGGGGCTCATCAGTTGCTTGATCAGTTGGAGTTTTTATGTTCAATATTTACAATAAATGGATTAGAGCAACACCTACATTAAATTCAAATCTACATTCAATTCCTACTGCTAAAAAACTTTGCCTGTTGCATCCTCAATGAACCTGAGGACAAAAGCTCGAATTGATCATTAAACGTCCACAAATAATTCATTCTTGTAACCCTTCACTGTAATTTCTGGGGAAAATGTAAAAAAAAAAACACCAGACAATTGGAGGAAGTTCCAATTTTATTGTGGAAGTGAATGAATAAGGCATACCACAAAAACCTACAGGCTTGTTGGCCACATGTACAGGATTTAATAATTGTGAAAAGCAAAATTTCAAACAAAAACATTACTTTTTTTTTTTATAGCAATACATGACATGGTTGTATTCTCTATTGGTAGCTCGCATAAAAGTTAATGCAGATGACATATAAACAATATAATACACAGTTTGCTACAGCATTAACACTGTGGTGAACTGAGGGAGGTGCTGCCCCCTGTTGGACAGGAATGAAACGATACACAGAGCTCCTCTTCTGACATTCCTCCTCCGTACACCTCCTTTAGGATTTCTTATATTCGATTCTCTCCACCTTGACATCGTCTCCGATCAGCTGATATACATATGTCACCACTGTGGATGCTTGGATGTCCATTAGTACAAAAGAAGGGATAATGTTTCTGAAACACACAAAACATTAGATATGTTACACCTAAAAGATTAACAGCTACAATGGAAAAATGCAGGTAATAGAACCTGGTTTATTAATATCTATGTTACATTTTAGAGCTATTATCTCTAAATTTAACATTTAATGTGGTTTAATCTATTTCTATAGTAATTAGGGTTTGGTATTAGGATTTTCTAAGCCAGATTATGGGCTGACTGGGTTCAATAGAGATCCAAGTCACATTATACTTTAACTGGGGTTGAGACAGACTCCTTTACAGCTGCCTTTTCTTTTTAATCCATCGCCTCGCAAAAAGAAGCCCAAATAATTGCAGTAATTCCTCTTAGCTCTGTAGCGCAGCAGCATGACACAGAGCCAACCTCTGACATCTGTCAAACTTTAGGGTCATGTCAATTTTTAATGGATGACTGAGAAAAATGTGTAAATTTTCTAACACCAACTGGATCCACTGTCTAACTTATATGGTTTCAACCTGAATGTTGGAACTGATCCCAAGATACTGGATAAAATAATGTAAAAAAAGAGGGACGTTTTCAATTTTGGACCAGATTCTTTAAAAAAAATAAAATAAAAAATAAGTAGGTTTCACATATATTAGAGGTCTAATCACAGTTACCTTTCCAGTGCGTTGTAGGCCCCGGTAGCAGAGCCGGGGTTGATGTAAAACTTGTTTTCGTTCTCGAAAGCCTCAAACTTGTGCGTGTGTCCCGAGATGAGGATGTCAACATCCAGCTGTCTCTGGAGCAGCGCCAGGCTGGCCATGTCGCCCCAAGGGATGACCTGGTGGCCGTGGATCAGACCAATTTTGAACTGGCCCACTGTGACCACCTTCTGCTCTGGGTAGTTCAGGTTCTGTGAAAACCACATGGAAACGAAGGAGATCATGAGCCGTGTTTAGCCTCTGAGCTTTGATTTTAAGTGAAAATCAAGTAAAGAGCTCAAATTTAACCAGAAAAAACTCTGAAATCAATTAAATATTGTCTCCCTCTGTTATTTACAGAAGTGATAAGTGAACTTTGCAAAAAAATGTTTTGTGGAAATTTGAAAAAAACACGTTTTGTACATAAAATTCTGAAAAAGAAAAAAGCAATCATGAGATTTATGTTTGAATATCATTTTAATAAAACATTAGCAAGCAACTTTGCTTTTTCTCTGATGCAGTTCATGTTTTACATTTTGTTTCTTTAAATTTCTTTTTTTTTTTCTTTTTAATTTTTTCCAATTTTTCATTTTGGATTTTATTTTCAGATCAGTTTTACAGTCATATCAAAAGGTTTGGGAACCCCTATTTATCTTATTTTTATTTTCAAATATTGTTTTTAAGAGGGGCTACAATGACCCTAAACTCCTCATCCTCACAGTTAAACAGAGGTGGTGCTATGACGCTAAGGGAAGTCTCCCTAAGCTAAGAAGGAATGGAACAAAGTATATATATTAGAAAGGTCCAGGATTTAAATCAAACTTAGAATTTCAAAAATGCCTAAAAAATCTCTGATGTTCGTAGAAGCTCTCAGTCCAATCAGACTAAGCCAAAGTTTTAAAGGAAAAGGAGATTTTTTGGGCATTTAGGGTGTAAAATCCCAATAAGTAGAATGTCTGTGATTATAAGGGAATAAAATGTATTTTGTGGAGGGAAGGTCTTTTTTAAAAGCATGAACTTTATGCTCTGTTAATGTTCCTGTTGCTCTTCAATTTGACCATTTTAGATAAATTTTATCATGAAGTTCTTCTAATCAATGTGGTTTAATTAAAGTACAGACCTCATCAAAGTCTCCCCGTACTATGTGGACATCGCCGGCAAGAGTTTTCAGGTAATCATAACTCTCCTTGGTGCAAAGGTTTCCCGTGCAGAGGATGTGCTGGATCTTCCCCGGTACCAACAGCTTCTTGAACTTAGCTGGCAGCGTGTTGCATCGGTGGGGAATGTGCAGGTCACCTAACACCAAAACCAACTAATAACATTGCACAGACACACAAAAAACAGTTAGTCACCCAAAAACAAGCTGTGAAATAAAAATAAAAAACAGAGAACAGAGCCCTGCATGGTGCCAGAGGTCAATCCAGGAGCAGGAAATAATAGCCACAATAACCGCCCCACACCTTCATTAGTTAGGGTTACTTTCTTCAGCTATTTTTTAATAGAACATGATAAATATAAAAGTATCTTAACCAATTAAAGCAGATAAACACCTGACTGAAAGCTTTCAAATCAGCAACATTTACAAGAACAGTTCTGAACAATAATGTGTCTGAATTCCAGCTGACCTCTAATTGATATATTTTTATTGAGTTTTTAAAAAGCCCAAAGAAGAAATAGGAATCAACAGAAAATGCACAGCTGGACTTCAGAAACTCAGCAAAAAAGACGTATATTTCTATCCAAAACAAGAAATGATAAACACATATAAGCAAAGTGGATAAAGAAGGATAGTTCAGGGCCTTTTTAGTAGGAGATTTAATTTAAAATCAATATCTTACCACCAGTAAATAAATCTCTTGACATCTTCATTAAGCAAAAATCCAGAGTAATTAGGTATGTGGAAACTGCTTCTAGATATAAGTACTTCTAATACATAAATAAATTGGTATAACAAGCAAAATTCTCAGTGTTTTAACTAAACATAATTCTATTAAAGTTCAGGTTCCTAATTTTGGTTCTAATTCTGCATAAGCATTTATCAGAACCTGCTGTGCAATTTCTTTTAGGCTCTCTGTACAGAATAAGCCAATGTAAACAAGCTGGCTCCCTCCAACATCATCAAATAGTATTTGCATAAACTATGAGTTGTAATCAGATGGGGAAACCCCCACTTTGGTCTCGACTTGTCTCTCGTTGTCTGTTAGCTTCAAGAACGAATTAATCTGGTAAAGCTCCAAAGTTACATACTGCAGGTAATATATAAGCTGCTTATAAACCTTTAATGGAGCCTCTTTCTTTTAAAATCCTAGAATATCCCTTTAATACTAAAGATAAAATTCCTCCTGAAGTACAAAAGCTGAATAATAAATGCAGAGGGTGTCAATTTATTAATAGGACTCAGGGAAAATAGGATCTTATTTAAAAGCTAAAACTCAGTTGTCAAAAGTAGATAAAACTCTGAAGAATCAATATTTAAAGATATCAGTCATAAGTGGTTCCTCCTAACAGAGGGTTTAAAGTTCAATTTTTGGTTCAACCAAAAATATTTTTTTTATTTATAGCTTAACAAAAAAAAAAAAAAGAATAAAAACAAGAAGATTCCTTTAAGTCTGACACCTTTCAGCATTTAAAAATGCATAAATCCATTCTAGGATGAACACATGATGTAGAGCATTAATTAGAGTGTCAAACTGCAGCAGTAACACCAAATATTCCCCGTCATCTGTAGAAATTTCTGCTTATATCTCAAATGACACTTGACTTTGTATTGAATTTTGAATGCAAACATTTTTTTCTCTCTCAATATTTAAGGAGTAAAAAAAAAAAAAAGGTGTTTTTTTCTTCTTTTTTTCAATTCCGCTGATGCACATCAGATCAGTGCTGTTGACTCAGTTTGACTGAGACAGCCTTAAAATCGACCTAGGAAAATATTGGCATACCTCCACATAAACACACCTTATACCAATTGCTACTCATTTCTTTGCAAACTTCTCATTTTCTTTCATTTGAATTCCAAAAATGATCATAAAAATAATCAAATATCAGATTAATACAGATTATTTTTCAGAAACTTTGCATTGGACTATTATTTTTAGATATTTTGGTTTCATTCCCTTTTTTGGTCTGTTAATCTTCTTGAAAGGTGACAAAGATGCCTCCTGATAAAACCGCAAAAAATGTCTAGCAGGTAGATATTAATAATTTGATGCACAAACCACTATTTTACTGCAGACAATAAGCAAAACATGCAAAAATCACTTCAAAGAATCAATTTGATGGCAGATTTATATTAATAGAAGGTCGGGGCTAAACAGCACACAGCCTTGTTTCATTAAAACATAAAGGCAGGGCATGAAATGACCAAAACGTGAAGAAAACCTGTTGTTATGCGGAGCGGTTCATGATTTATTCTCTAAACTTTCTGGACCGTCTGTCTGCTAAATATAGCCTACTTTTTTTCCTATATCAAGGATCTGCAATCGTTGGTTTTGGAGCCACATGCAGATCTATGAACCTTTCAAATTTGCTCTTAATCAAACATTGTTTTACAATGTAAAAACAATTAAAATGCAGTTACTTTTTTTTTTTGTAATGTAAGAATAGCTCGTTCTATCCACAGCAGAATGCAAATGGAGGTGGTCATATTTTTGTTCAATTTGAAAACTAGTTTATTTTTTTTTATATCATTAAACATCATAATTAAAATCCTGATAAATGCATTGTTTTTCATTTTATATTTATAACTTATTTTATTCTTTATTTTTTAAATATAAAAAAAAAGAAGTGACATTAAAAGCAGCATTAGTTTAGTACGTGTGATGTTTATAGTTCTACATGAGTTTCATTTAGCTGATCTAATGTATAGATATGGTTCTTTGGATTGGAAAGGTTGCAGCCTCCAGCTTTAAACAGTCTGATCTGAACGCAGCTCTCAAAGTTAAACATGTCAATAATTGTCTCTCTTTAGAAAAAGGGTTGCAGGTTCGAAATTGTTTGTTATATACATGAGCATAAATAAGCACCTCTTAAGAAATGTCTTTATGCTCCAGGTGTATGGCTGCAAAACTCCTTCAACAGAGATGCTGATTAAGTTACTAAAGAACATTTTATCCAAAACATCAAGGTGTTACTTTTTCTCCTAAAACCTCCGAAAGCAGAAATGGGGCCCACCTTTGTGAAGGCCATCTCTGTTTTCCATGTTAGTAGTATTCGGTGGAGTCATGCATGTTTTTATAATGTTTGCTAAAGATTGGATGGTGGAGGAGATCAAATCTATTTTAATGACCCCATCCAGTTGGCCCTGTGTCTGCTTTGGGTCTCCTTCCTATCAAGATCACCGTACTGATGGAGCTGATTTCAGCCGCTAGCATCTGTAACCTTATTTGACCTGGCGAAAGCATTGGAGCAAAAACTCCTGTACTCCTGCCATCATGATGTTCATCCGATATTGCACTTTTCAAATTTCGGACCTCACGGTAATAAAGCGTTTGATTAAACAGGTCAGAAAGTTTTCTATTTAAGGATCTTTAACCTTTAGTTCAGTTTAATATCTGGTTTGTTTTCTTATCTAGCTATGTTTTTTTTTTCAGATGCAGGCAAATTTGTTGGCACCCTGGTAAAGTTGTGTTGTCATGACTCCCATCTAACCATGAAAATATCTTCTAATAGATTTTATTTACCTCCCTTACATTTCTGCCTTTTTGTATGAATGTAGGATTCCTTTTCCAGCAAAGTGACCGGTGGCTAAAATAAACTGGCCTGTGAGTGGCAATAATTAATGCAGGTGGGATACAGAGGTTTTTTTGCGGAGATTAATTTATCTTAAAGCCATTTAAACATCTTTACTAGGAGTAGCAACACTTTTTTGTCTGCATTACATGTTTGAAATAACACACCAGACCAAATCAAGTCTATGTCAGCATAAGTTAGCTTCATAGCAGCTGATGAAATAGCAGCAGCTAATTGTGCTAAAAGGCAAAAAAAAATGTCAGATGTACACCAATTCGCAATTCCATCCCCAGTTAGAGCGCAAAGCAGAAGGATGATCAGAAAAACAAGAATCCAGCATAAAGCGAGCAGACTTACCCGGTGACCAGCCTGGATGGTTGGAGACAGGGACAGAGAGGTGGAGGTGGGAGGTGAGGTGAGTGGAGGGGGAAAGTAGGGAAGAGAGGAGGAGGTGCACGTGTACAACAACACAGGACGTGTTCAAAGATTGGGGTAAAAAAAAATAAACAGAAGAAAAGTTGGGACAAATTAAAAAGTGAATGGATTAAGTCAGCAGATTAATTAATGAATAATTCAAAGACAAATAAATGAAAAATCAAAAACAAAATGGCAAAGTGATCCAGACATCTGTTAATAGCTGACAGTTAGTGATCATGCTAAGCTGAAATAAACATAGGAACCTGGGTGTAAGCCGAGGCAAAATTATGTGCCGAAGCAAATCTGATCGTTTGCTGAGGTTTAGTACAAATAATCATGCAGACACATTTAAAACAAATATATAAAAATCAATAAATAAACAGAGCCAGCCCAAGGCACAACAGATGTCAAACTTCAAATTGCTGTTTTATTTTATTCAAGATGTAGCTAGTCCATTATTTATTTCTGCCAATTGTGTACGTTTAATTCATATTGAGACTTCAAAGTAGTTTGGTGAATAAATGATTATGTTCCTCATTGTAAAACAACTAATCAAACCTCAAAACATAAAATAAAAGTACATGGTGCAGAACATTCCCAGGATCTTTCCTTAAAGCATCTGATAAAAAAACTATCCCCCCCACTTTATTCCATTTATTAAAGGAAAAGTCCAGTCAGCAAGGAATAGTAAATGGATCATTATCTATACCAAAAACTAATAGGCTCACGGCGATTTCATTAATTTAGAGTTAATCAGTAACGAAATAAAAGTAATAATTTTCGTTGCGATCTCTCAGTCCGGGACCTGACATTTTTTCCCCAAATATAGTAACACCTCATTCCTGACATCTTCCGGCAGTGACGTCACGGTGTAGCCTAGTAAACTAGCCCCAGCGGCCAAAATCATTTTTGCCTGCAAGCGGCCTAGCCTCGATCAATGCCCCAGGCCCTAGAACTGGCGGGCCAATCACAACTCAGAGATTTTTTTTTTAATTTTTGGATGCAAAGTGGGCGGGGCTTTGAGGGCGTGATGACAAAGCTGAACAATGCAGGAGAAAGCGCAACAAGGAAGATGGCAACAATTATTGAACTGTTTTGACTCCCCTTTGGAATCAGTTTCGGAAGGATTAGATTTGGCATTTTCGTTGAAGCGTGAGCAGGAAGAGGCTCTACGCTCATTCATTTGTAAGAAGGACGTATTCGCTGTTTTATCGACAGGCTGTTTGATTACACTCCCCCACCAGCTTCCTGTCGCACTTCCTACGTCACAGTCAGTTGAGCTCATTGGTCAGAGCGTTGGCCAATAGGCATAGACATGGTTTGAAAAACAACAGGTTGTTCTCATCAACAATCTTCCGATTCATCGGGGCCAGACTAAATTACACATTTAATCTCACATTTAGTCTAGTTTATCAGGCTAGTCATGGTGTGGTAAGCCTAGCACCATTCTCCCCACTTTACAAGCAAATTCAATGGGAACTACTAGACACATGTACAATCAACAATTATTTTAGATTTCCAGAGGACTTTATCATTATAATTCACCAGAGCTATAGGTAAACTGACAATGCCCACGTGCATGGCCGTTAGATGTTGTAATACATTGGCTAAAAGCATTAGTTATTTCATCTTTGTGATTCATGATCCTCCACCACGGGTTCGTCATTGGATTGCCAACTCGAAGAGGGAGGATTTGCCATCGAACTTCTGGCCAGAGGAAAAAACACGTAATATGTGGCAAACTTTTCAAAAAAGAATATTTTCAAGATGACTTAGATAATAGCGTGTTGTGAC